GGTACTTTCTTTCCAACAAAAAAAGAATCATCAAAATTGGTTCACAAATGGCGGAGTTATCGCGTAACATACATACAAAAAAAACATACAGACGAATTGAGAATCTCCTCCCTTTTTGAAATCGGTTAAAACAAGCAGATTTGACAGTTGTAAAATATATAGAATACGAGGTGTCCGGGTGTGTAATGTAGGTATCATATAAATATTATTCACATAACGCTCAATAGGCAGAATTTTACTTCCTATAAACTCATTTAATATAGTAACAACTCATATAACGAACGTTTAATATAAACTTACATTCTATTATTTTATGTTTTATAACGATCATTTACACTATTAATTCATTATTAATAACGATCATAAGTTATAAACCACGGTTAACATAACGTCATTTTATCTAAATTTAATTTCATCTAGAAATAGGATTATTTCCGAAAAATTATGTCCCTAATATTAATATTATATTAATTATAATTTAGGCTGATAACATGTTAGGACACAAACAAAGTCGTTTCTGGCACTCGCCGGCCGCTGCCGCGTCACGCTCACTCGGCTCGTGCTGCTTTTTCATGTTCTAACCTAACCTACTGAATGGGAGCACCAACGAAGATTTGACCAATGTAAAATACGTTTGTTTTATTTAAACCACCAAGGAATCCAGAGTCTAACAATAATAATTTTGTCGAAATGAAAATTCGGCATTGTAAACTATATTAAGAAAAACAACTCTCACTCCGCTCCCCCGGCTTTTAAATTACACTCCTAGTATCGAAAAGACAGGTACCATGGCAAGTCGGGTGTAAACTTATTATTTATGAGATGTGAAACCACATAAAAATTATTTAAGTTGACAATATATGAAATTATTGTTACCTATGTAATAATAATAATAACGCACACATTCAACATAGTTCCACACTAGGGAAATCCTGTGTCGCGAGGGCCATGGACATACGCATAACAACCACAAACGACACCCAAACTCAAGAAAGAAATAAATGTAGGCCATACACATATTTTTCCCGGCTTGGGAGTCGAACCCAGGACCTTTGCGTGACAGTCCGCCATGGTAACCGTTCGGCCACGAGGAGGGAGGCAATATGAGCTCTACATACATTTTTTAAGTGTGATTATTATATCAAACAAGAATTATACGAAGTTTAATTCTAGGAACTGAAATTGGTTCAAATAAAATTTATACAAATGTACGATATTTGTTTTAAAATTTTCGCGATTGTTATACATAGGAAATGAAACTATTTTTCCGGATTTAAATCGCATATATTTGTTTTTTCAAACAAACCGACGTTTCGGGCCCTTTACAGGTCCCATGGTCACGGTTGACAGTCAACGGCGATTTATATCCGGAGAAATAGTTTCATTTCCTAGTTTATTTTAATTATTTTATTACATTCTCAAAAGCCTTTATCTGTTTTTCCTATAATCTCAAAACATATGACTTAAAATAAAGTATACTCCTCTTACCCCACCTGACTATAATAACCATTATAGGTATTCACTATCTCTCAGAGTTCAAAGGTTAGCTAAATGAAATCCCTTTATGGGATAAGCTCGCCATTGTACACCAGCTTTTAGCAGCAATAGAGCTCCTTGTGAAAGAGTTCGACCAGGGAAGTACTGCCATCTTACCTACTTCTGCCGCCAAGTAGTAATGTTAGCATTACTGCCTTCCGGTTTAGAAGGGTAAGCGTACTGGTGAAATTACACGCACATGAGATTTGTGAACTTAAGCCCCAGGGTGACGGGCGCAGTGGCAGTGCCCCTCAGATATTTGCGATTTGAAAGCTCTGAGTGGCACTGCAACTGTTATGGGCAGGCGTGTGTGTAGCTTACCATCAGGCGCACGACTTGTTCGTCCCGCTTGATATAATAATAAAAAAACATTTTTAAGTTATGTTATTGAAAATTTATGATATTTATGTTAAGTATGCGCAGTTAGTAATGAAGTTGTAGATACATAAAAAAGAACATGAATGAAAACTGTTTTTTGTACTGATTTTCTGGTTGTTTATTTTTCTCCGCAGCAACGCTTTCACGTATTATCCCGTATTCTAATTACCCATGTAAGAAGTTAAAACATTAGCGAAATTGTGTGTCAAGGGGGTTTGCAAATGTATCCATATATATACATATATGCCAATTTATTACGAGTCAGGCTGAGATCTAAAGCCTTTTGTTTTCATGCGTTTGTTCGTCGACGTAATTGTTCTAACGCTTTGACAGCTTGTTCCGTCAAGTCTTTGATAACCATTTTATTTGTAAGATATGGATGTTGTGAAATTGAAGGAAGAATGTACTGATGTATTTATAAAGTAACGTGTTTAGGTGTTGTCATTGCGTAAATCAATGTACATATTTATAAGAGTGTTAGACGATGGCAAGAAATCTGCGAATCGAGTAATATAGTAGATAACAGCGGAAACTGCGATGAAAGTAACTATAGCAAATTTTCATTTATTCGTATGCAGTAACAAAATGTTTCTCCGAATGCGAAGTACTTATCGTAATTAGAATACCGCAGGGTTATCGTAAACTTTTGTACAAAAACCTACAGCGACGTATACACAAAATGTCAATGATTCAACAGAAAGAAGAATGGATTTTCTCAACTTGCTTTGTTGTGTAACCCGAGACACATCTTTTCCCAGGTTTCTGTCCACAATCGCGTTTCGCTTTGAAACTCAATAAAACTGCGCAAAATAAGATATGACCCAGCGTCTTCACTGGCGCCGTCAAACTTGAAAAATGTCAGATATCTCTGCCACTACGCAAGGTCCAAGGTCCTGCTCACATAAGGGAACATAGTATGAACTATGAACCAATGCCTTGAACTTATTGCCCAGAAACCACTCAGGTGAACGGAATATAATAATAATAAATTTATTTCTCTCCACATATTCTGATTACAAATATATTTTGTTACAAAAACAGATCTTCATTACGAAAGTGACTAACTCAGGAGATTGAAATCTGAACTACATTAAGAGATATTTGTCTTTTTTTTATGATATCAAGCAACACGGGACGAACAAGTCGTGGGTACCTACACCTAGCGTTAAGCGACACGCCTGTCCATGACAATTGCAGTGCCACTGCTATTCACCCTGTCGCCTATCACCCTGAAACATAAGTTGAGAAGTCTCATGTGCCATTAATTTCACTAGCGCTCTACCCTTCAAAACCGGAACACAGTAATGCTTGGCAGCTGAAATAGGTAAAGTGGCAGTATTTCCCTGGACGAACTCTTTCACCAGGAGCTCTACTGCTAGTAAAATATGAACAATAGGTACAAAAGTTAGGAGTAAATAAAGTATAAAGTTATTATAACGCTTAAAATTCAAAATATAAGGAGACAAGAAATTGACGCAAATATCAGATAACGTGAGGAATGACCTCGCCTCGCCCCAGTCGTGTTTATTACCCCTAGTAAGACTTATTGTAGTCATCGATCAATACGTCATCCCGTATCGCTGCTCGATCGGCGACGCCAAACAAAACTTGCTCCATTTTTCATGGGAACATTTGGTCTTAAAACGTCACTCTATTTTACCCGACACACCTTACAAAACACTATTTTCGTATTGACATTTTTGGGATCTATTTTGCCGACAATTTCACTTATTTACACCAAAGCGCTTACTAAATTGAAAGCAAACTGAAAAATAAGTCAAAACCAAAGTATTTATTGCTTCCATGTGTTACATAGAGATTTTAAAATTTAAATAGTATCAGCGTGACCCTGTTAAATATAAGAAGAAAAAGAACGTAACATTTTTTAAGAGAACTCATATAAGTAATAAATTTTAAAAAAAATTGTGAATATAGAATTATTACGTTATCGCGAGTGTTACTACGCTACGCTACGCGTGAAGTTTTTGAAATTTGTGCTTGTCGCGATTTGTCGTACATTATTTATATAATATAAATCCGTTATTCTTATTATTGTTGACATTAAATTGACAACGATAACTAATTTTGTTTATTTTAACTGATTTGTTATAGTTCAACTGTTTTTCTTTCATTTACCATTTTCCTCTCTTACTATAGTAAGGTGAAAGTCGTGTATTTCGCTCGGCGGCAAAATTGTTTCGCGTCTCGTGCCTTGAAACCCTCGCTACGCTCAGAAAATTACTCCACTAGTTTGTTATAATAATTAATACAAAGAAATATTCCTTCAATGCCAGACAAGAGCCACCGCTCTACCAACTGAGCTACAAATCGTATCCATACCCCTTTTTATTTGTAAAAATGAGACAAAATACACCAGTGCATAAGTTGTCAAAGTTTACTCAGGTTCCCGAAAAGTTATCAATCTAGAAGAATAAAGACTAGACGCTCTATATAATTTCCAAAAAATTTAATGTGTTTAGGCCACAGTCCGCCACGCTGAGGACTTCACACGTTTCCAAATAGTTTTTTTTTTCATAACGCATACGTACATAGCCCCGCACTAGGGAGACCCTGTATCGCATGTGCCATGGACACATATATAGACAAACACAAAATACACGAAACTCGCGAGAGAAATAAATGTAGGCAATACAAATATTTCTCCCGGCCTGGGAACCGAACCCGGGACCGCGTGGCAGCCCGGCGGCATAGAAACCGTTACATTACAATGTTTTCCTTCATGGTTACCGAGAGATATCGCTACTAAACAATTACACACGTACGTAACTTAGAATTTAAAGTCATAGATAGGTACAGGCCGGAATTCGACCCGTCAACCATCAATTGAGAAGCAACCGTTCTTCCAGTAAGCTACCACCGCTTTTGATTAATTAATTACTTAAATATAATAATTATCATCGTCAAATTAGATTTTCTGACATAAGTAAAATTCTGTACAGTCGAGATGTGTACAGTCGGCTACTAAATTAAGTATCCACATTCTGTATTTAAAAAAATACTCTCTGGTTCGTTCTTTGATATGCACTCATATTATGAAATTAAAAATTATGAAATCTTTCGACCAGGCCATTCCGGAAGGATTCTATGCATGTGCGTAACGAGAGAGTCGCAATACCTCCTCACTGGCTCGGAAGATACAAGCGTCATCGTGTGGGATCTGCATTCTTTGGCCTGCAAAACCAAAATTCTGTAAGTAACATTCTTACACTACTTTCTACTTTTCATACTACTATTTCCCCGTATTTGGGTCATACACAAAAAGGGAAGAAAAAGTGTCCCGGCTACTTCAATTGAATTTAAATATATTGTCTTATTGTCGGTTTAAAAGACAGTTAAAAATACATAAAATTCCATGAATGAACTTTCTTTTCTTTTGTGTTAGCTGTCATATAAAATTAAATAGATTCCACTGTAAGTCAAAATATCTATATTTTTTGTTAAAGATTTACAACCATTACAATTGCCGTTCACAAATTTTCAAAACAAGGTCCCCTCCTGTAGATGTATAAAAAAGCTCCATTTTTAATCAATTTGAATGCATCGTAAACATTTAATTTTTTAAGTTGGCAGAATGGTGGTCTCTCATATTTTTTTTTTATTCGCTCTGGGCCTTTTGGAGGGAAAAGTGTCGTTTCTATTTTGACTTTCAATTATTTTGTGAAATCTAGTTTAAAGTGGAATAGCATAGTGCTATCGTGCCTTAATCGAAGATTAAAACGCGAAATTATACGAATCTCGAACTAAAATACCCGTATCGGCCCGTTCTAAGGAATTCCGAATCAATCCAGGCACGCCGCCTCAAATTGCCTATCCTCTTTGTGGTGGCCATATTTACAGAAATATAATTAAACGTTTATGTTTTCGGCTGAAGGTCTTTGTTTCCATGGCCAGCAATAATTTAAAAAAAAATTAAAAAATCATATTTTTTTCTTTCGAGAAATTGACAGCAAGCGCTTGAGTCGATAAAACGCATTTTTACGATAAACGCATTCAAATATACGAGTTTTTCGTCGAGATCAGTGATTTTTTTTCTGTGCAAAGTGTAAGTACCGTGTTTTTCTTTATAAATATCGAGACTTTGTATGTGTGTGGGACTATTGTTCAAATATCATTTACCCTAAATTCTAACCTCAAAAATTTGCATGCTATCTTCAATTTATAATCGGTACATCTCTCCTGTAAACATCTTCCCTGTTGACACATTGTCTACAGAAGAGATCTAAACCTACAGAAGTGACGTTGCATAGAATGTGCTGTGTCTACAAAAGATAATCATGTCTGCAGAATTTATAAAATTGTTAGGAATTAGTTATCCAGAGTTCCTCAAACGAAAAGTTTGCTCTCAAATTATCATCGTATCTATCTGATTGTCTATACATATCATATCAACATAATACTAGTAAATAATAAACCCTACCACTAATTCACCACACACTATAATTTACTGGCCTAGACGTGTGATTACAGATAAAACAAGATGAAAAAAATTATACTTTCAACAATAATAAATTTTACCCACTTCACCCAGCTTGGACGTTGTCTCTTAACAATTATATAATCATTTGCTTGTACAAACGCTAAATATAAATTACTTTATTAACTTTCTTTTTTTATTGGATCATCTACTTGCTCGAATACCATTTGGTTTGTTGCTTAAATAATACACGTGATATGATTTATTTTAGGTAAGATGCCAGGGCAAAGTCGTTCAAGGAGTAATCTCTCCGAAGAAGAAAAAAGAAGCGTATTTGAGAACAAAAAAAACTTAGCGTACGCCGTGCTCAAACCAAAATGGACGAAGTCTCACTCGAAGAAAAATGAAGGATGACAGGGAAACACACAAAAAGAAAACAGAGCAAGGTCAAATCAAGAAAATTAAGGATTACACTCAAAGAGAACAAAGAAAAATCAGAAAAATATGGAGAGAGAAGGCAAAAAAAAGCGTAAAAAGGAAGAAGAAAAAAGAAGACACTTAATTTCACACGAGAGAACACTTCGCCTTCGAGTCCTTGGTTTTCACGTGTAAATGTTGGTAGAGCTGTGGCAACACGCAATTAACGAAGACTTGTCGCCGAAAATAGTTATCTGAAAAGAAGGATTCCGGAATTGGAGTCAAAAATGTCCAAATACCGAATGCGCTCACGCGATACGTGCAGCCGTAGACGCATACACGCCTAAAGGTGCCGGTGATGATTTCATACCGATTTATCGGATATCGAAGTTATAACAGGTAAAAGAACTAATATTTATTGTTATTTCGGTAACGACTCTAGCAAACCATAAAGTTTTTAATGCCTGGGTCTGTCATTTAAAAAGAATAAACAACTTCAAAAATACGTCACGACAATCGTGTGTGTTATTGTTTGGGCTGGTGATTTCGGTGTTCATTTATTGAAAACATACCGTAAGTAGCGTTTTTTAAGTTTACCTTGAATATAAATGTTTATAAACTATTCTTTAAGGAGTAATTTCATGTTAAACGTGAGAACCACTCAAACGGAATATTATCATACTTATCCAAATACACCAAAAATTTAATTAGTGCTTTTTAAGTACAGGTTTACGGTGTATTACTGCATTTTATTTGAGATGTTTTTGTTGGTAGTACGGAGGGTATTTATTTAGCAATGCAGAATAATAATTTTTATTCATAAAAACTTGTATTTAAACTGAATGCTTTTTTAATTTGCGAAACCAAATAGCCGCCATTTGGCGGTAGGAGGAGCGCATCGCGTGAGCAGATAAGAGCAAAAAGAAACAGGAATAGGAGAAAAGGGAAAACAAAGGCCGACAACAACAAGAAGATCGACGAAGATTGAAGACGTAAGATAAAGCAATTCATGATTTTCTACTTCAAGATGAAAATAGCCGATTAACTGAAGATGGACAATATAGGTTTTTCGGAAAACTACAAGTGTAAGTATGCCCAGGAAATACAGTCCGCTCACTTTGGCGGTTCGAAAATACAGTTGTCTTTACATACTGCTGTTTATTATAGTACCCAATCAAAACCTCCGAATAATTACATCAGTGTCAGAAAATATCAGACATGAGACCTGTTCTGATATGTGTACACTTACAAACTTTGATACATAGAATTCGAAAACTATCGCCAAATTTAAAAACTTACACGTTTTAAGTGATAGGCCCTCTACTCAATATCGAAATAAATCCATGTTCCGCTTTATAGCAACATACCTTAGCGAGAAGTTTAGTGTTAATTCCATCACTTGGCATTATAGCGAGAGGGGACATGAAAAAGGTGCACCGGATGGAGTAGATGGTTGCATCAAACGGATCTGCGACAGCTGTGTTGCGAGAGGCCAAGACGTTTCTAGTTTAGATGAGCTGGTGTTATGCTTGGATAAGTGTTGTAGGGGCATTGAAGTATATAGAATAAATGAAGGCCTCATCCCTGAAATTTAACAACTTTTAAACAGTGGTGCTACACAACCATTTAAAGGTACTCTGGGAATTCAGCAATTGTCATGGAGTGTCGACGAACCGTACACCATACACGCAAGGCGTCTAAGTTGCTTAGAGTGTAAGGGCCCACGAAATTTGTCATCATTATGAAATTGATATAATCCAAATAAACAACACAGATCCAACAGTGGCTGCCTTATCTAGAGCTAGTTCACTTGATTTCATAATAATAGCTCCAAGAACTCCCGAAGCTCCGACAGAACCAAATTCACCGGGTTTGACGGATAGATTTACGCCGGATAATATTATAATTCAGCCAATTTGTAGACCTACAAAAAGGAACCTTTGCCTATTATATTTAATTTTTCATCTGATGATGAAGATATTTTTAAGGTGATTTGTATGATTGTGGTCATACAAATCACCAATCACAAGCATATATGACTTTTCTGTGGACATAAGGTGATTATTTTTTGGTTCCTTTTTGATAAACGATTAATTATACTTATTATGTGGTTAAATAAGATTCATTTTGAAGTGTATTTGTTATGTTTATAAAAAATATTATGTTATTTGGACAAATTTTTATCTAATTCGTTCTTTTCGGTAGACAACTTGATCTCATCTGTAGACATAAAAAAATGTGTTTTATTGCTCAAATATTTAAAACTGATCTCAATTAATATAATTACACAAATAATAGTTACTTACATTGTTTAAATACAAAAATGAAGCGCAAACAGTGACATTTTAATTTTTCTTAATAAATTTTTCTTCTTACGCATGGCGACTTTTATTAGCGATGCAAACGCGCGTTCTTGAAACGCGCGATGGCGTCGCTACACTTGCGATTTATTGGTGATTGCATCGATGCAAACGCGCGACTGCATCGATACAGTCGCTTATGTTGAATAATTATGTAAGAAAAATCTGTATAACACATTATTTTGTTTTGTTAATTGTAAATTAAAAAATGAAATTAATAAAAACATTGAATAAATAAATTAGTTAATTAACTTCAAACGTGCATTGCGTTTGTATCGCGTTTGCATCGCTTTTGCATCGCGTTTGTATCGCGTTAGCATCGCGTTTGCATCGCAGCTTAAAGTCGCCATGTATAACCGCTCTTAGATATGGATTTTTCTGCTACCTCACTGTAAGTACAACATTCCTAAAGATATCGTCAATCGTGTTACGTAGACATGGCATTGTGAAAACTTCAGATTCCACTCAACCTGCGAAACCCAATTTCCGGCTGTGGTCGATTATCGACTGTCACAAACTCTCGCGTTCGGTCCCGCCGTGTCGCATTGTATCTATGGTTAAGGAAACGCGTAAATGTGGCTATAATCATCAACCCTCACAGAGTCTCCTCACACGAAAGGGTTTAGGTTATAGTCCGCCACGCTGGCCCAATTAGTGTTGGGGACTTCACACGTTTTCTGAGTGTCGTAATCCTTCTGCGACGCGCAGGTTTCATCACGATGTTTTTCTTCACCAAAAAGCTCGTAGTGAAATTCAAATTAAATTTCGCACATAATTGGACAATAGCAACATATTTCACGTTTATGACTGAAATATAATCTACATCAAAGTTATAATACATCTGTTGTTATATTTTTTTTATGTAATATTGTTTTTCTATATGAATTTAAATAATTTAAACGGCCTTATTTCGAAACGCAGAGGTCGGTCTGACGTCACGACTAGTGACGGAAAAAACCCATACTAAACTTATTTGAGTTTTTGTGTTTTATATATAATTCTTTATTGCACAAACAAAAGACTCATAAAACACACGTTACAAAGGACATATAGAAAGATGAGCTTATCTCTAGAAGAGATCTCTTCAGCCAACCCGTCACGGAGAGATTTGGCAGGTAGCCGTGGTGTAAAAGTTAAGTCTGCGGGACTAATTATTGGTCAATAAAATGAAATTTAAATGTGACAAAAAAAATAATGAAATGATGGTCATATACATGAACTTTATATACATAAATACATACATAAGCAGAATATATACCTGTTATAATAACAAAATATTAGTTTATATATATGTTACCGATTAACTAAGTAATGCGTTCGACAAGAAGTGCTCTTTTAATTTGTATTTGAAAGATGCCACCGATGGACTGTCACGAATGTCAGCAGGCAGTTTATTCCACATACGTGCTGCACTAATCGTAAAAGAATTGTGTAAGAACTTGGACTTGGATTGGGGATATAATAATGTTCTAGTGTCACAGGTGCGTTTTGGGCGGGAACTAGGGGCTAAGGGACAAAAACGGGTACACAAATAATGAGGAAGCTGGGGGTAATGTAGAATTTTATAAAGAAGACAAAGAACGCACATATCTCAGCGAAGTCGGATAGGGAGCCATTTCAACTCAGTCCGAAACTCTGAGACATGGTCATATTTACGTAAACCGAAAATAAAGCGGATTGCAAGATTTTGTAAGCGCTCCAGTTTGTTAAGCAACTCCTCAGTAGCATCCAAATAGTAAACATCAGCATAGTCGAGAAGAGGGAGCAGTAAAGACTGAGCAAGCATAACCTTGATGTTGAACGGTAAGAAGAATTGAAGCCGCTTTAGAGAATGATAGGAAAAGTTCATGCGTCGACTAACCTCATTCACCTGTGGTCTCCAGGACAGTGTATGGTCAATTATCAAACCCAGGTATTTTCCGCATATGCAAGGCTCCCTCCATCATACGATACCGTGGGGAGATTATTAATGTCCAACCTGCAGTAAAGTCTGTTGCTACCTACAATTATTGCCTGTGATTTCATCTGGTTTACAAGTAAACCAAACTCATCAGCCCAAGAATTCACCACAAGAAGATCCTTATTAATAGTTTCAATGGCAGATAGGGTATTGGCTACATCAAAATGTCTATATATTTGCAAGTTATCTGCGTATAAATGGAATGGAGGAGAAATTAATTTAGTGAGCTCGTTTATGAACAGCAAGAAGAGAAGAGGTGAAAGTACACCACCCTGTGGTACCCCTGAAGTCAAAGGAGACCATTCGGAATAAGTGTTATCGTTCCTGATCCTTTGATGGCGATTGCGGAAGTAATCCGAAAACCAAGCGATTGCAGCAGGGGAGATGTTAAGAGCGCATAGTGGTTTTAGGGATGGGAATGACGTGGGCAATTTCCAATCACTAGGAAAGACGCTAGTTGCAAGAGAACAATTCAAAACGTGTGTGGTATCAGCATGTCACGACAAATTCCATCTTCACCCACAGCCTTGGAGATTATGGATAGGATACTCTTCTTAACTTCCCCCTCAATGACTTCGCGAAAAGATAAAGGTTCGCAATCGGGACGAGTAACACTGCCTAGGGAGGTGAACGTGGCTGCTTTGATAGGATCAGCAACAGTAAATGGTCAGTTGGTAAAGTGTCTGTTGCGTGAGTCAAGGTCAGTTAAGTCAACAGTACAGTCACGATCCCTACCCACACCAAGTGATCACAAGACCTTCCAGGTTTGACCCATAGTCAAGCCTTCCATCGACGAATGGAAGTATCGCCGTTTGGCATCACGACACATTCTATTGCAAAAATTGCGTAGCCTTTTATAAGAAAGCTAATTCGATACTCAAGAGGTTTCCATGTGAAGACATGGAAACCTCTTGAGTATCGATTTGGCCTTGTCCTTACGTTTCATGGTTTTCTTTATTGCTGTTGTAAGCCAATGCACAGGTAGATGCTTAACGCGCTCTGGTCTGAGTGGGGCATGAGAGTCATACAGCTTAATTAACTGATTGTAAAAAATTTTGATCTTCTCATTTACCGTGCTAGCTTCAATCAATGTAGACCAGTCAACATTCGAAAATTCCTCTCTCAAGCGATCCACACAAATGTTACCAAAGTTACGCTGAAAAATGACTTTAAGTTTGGGTTTGGAAGTGCGTACTTGATAAGACAAATATATGAGGTCATGGTACGAGAATGGGGCAGTGATTTGTCCATTCAAGAGAACTGATTGAGGTTTGGAAACTATCTGAACATCTAAAAGTGAAGGTTGACTATTAGGAGAATGATGGGTGGCAGTAAGTGGAAGCAATACAAAATTCACAGAAGTTACCAGGGAGTTAAGACGTGCAGATCGAAAGTTATTCTTTAATAAACAAGTATTAAGATCACCCATCGATATTACATGGTCGTATGAAGCACTCAAGGATTCAAGAGTTGTCTCAAACAAGTCAAAATAGTTTACATTACTAGTATACTAGTTTAATTAATATTGTTTTCAGTTATTATTATATGTAATTTAATTATGAAATAAATTATATTAGAAAATACTGTTTATGGAAAGTAGATACGAGAGATATAAAAAACATTTAACAATAACTTGGGATAATGAGTAAAAAATCTCCAAATTGGACGCACCCAAGGCAATTAAATTAAAAAAAATTGACACTAATCATTAAACTTATTAACGGTTTTTATTCACGAAGTACGTCATACGGACGACAATTTCCTGGGCGAGCCTTTCAAAACTCAATTTTACTCTTTATTTTTGTCTCAACACGTTAAAACGTTAAAATGTTAAAATAACATAAAATGAAAATGAATATGATGACCAAAACATGTGTCTACAAGGTGAAATTTTATAAAGGACTTGTGGGAAAAATGTGCTATTCAATTTCAAGAAATTCAGAGGTGCGAGCCCGGATTTGAACCCACGTCATCTTGCTTGGGAGGCGGTAGGTCAAACCATTAGGCAACCACGGCATATATTTAAATTTGACTAATATTGACAATTACATTTTACATAGAAATGTACTCTTTATTTTCAAAATTATTAAATTATCGTCACTCCATTTGCGCAATAAATTACTTTCTCTGTCTCCTCAGCTATTATAAAATTAATTTTCTCAAAGTAACCGAGAGGGCGCTTGATAAAACTATTAACAATTCTAAAAGCGTTTCACGTCGTGCTTAAGACTTAAAGCAATTTCCAAGCTCTGTAAATTATTACCTTAATTATTGCACGTCATAAATCGTGGCTAAGTGGAAGAGTCGTTGTTTGAAAATTAATTAGAACTTGGTTTTGTTTCAATTATGTATAGAACCTTTCAATACCACGTGCAGTAGGTATTTCGCTCAGAAAGAACAAGCCTATTATGTACTTTATTATGAACATCGGCTATATCAACACCTACAAACATCGACACATTTTTATTAATACCTTACGATCGATGACGCGTCGACGCGCGCATTACGTGGTAGCGTATTTTATATTAAGTGGCATTACAATTTTGCACATAATTTCAAATATAGAAAACGTAACCGTAATAATTAAAACATACAGTCAAATTGAGAACCTCCTCCTTTTTTGATGTCGGTTAATAAGCAAAATATTTGTACAGGTTTACATTACGAGACAAAATTGTTATACCGCAAACATGTCCACATTTTAAACCATGTGTGAAATCTGGTATACCAAAACTAAATAATACACATGTGGACCGCGCCTGGGGCTGAGATTTATATATACGAATATTGATTACGAGTAAACAAAAAATTAATAAACTTGCTAAGCAAGTTTTTCGTATTTACAAAACGTACTTTGCCTAAGTTTACGCAAGAATTACGGAGTACGAATTACTTAGGAAAAGTCCGTTTTGTAATTTTTGCTAAATCGAAATCAAGGTTCGTTTTATATCTCAGCCTAGGCTGAGGTATGACTTCGCGGCTGCGGGCGATCCGGGCGGGGCTCTGTTCGCCAGTAAGTTTGGCAGCCGCGAGGAGGACGACGGGGCGATGTGGCCCGCTTCGTCGTAAGGAGAGGAAAGTGAGGACGTAGCTCCTCCTAGGTGCAGGGGGGTTCCGGTGTGCAAATTCGATTTCGAAATTCGATACAGAGTGGGCGTAATACACCTTACAACAGTGACAACTAACTAACTAACCATCAGTTAATTATTTATTTATTGATAATTTCATAAAAATCTGCCTTAGACTCACATCAGAGGCACAAAAGAAATGCGAGTTGTAAACATGCAGGCACCGTTGTAAGATTTGATACATATAATGTGTGAATTGTGTCTAGTTGTCATAAATGTTTAATAAATTTTTCCTTTCTGCAGCGAACATATCGCTCCAGTGCTTTGCGTGGCAGCGATTGTTAATCGTTCCCTCGTCATCAGCGGAGGTGAAGACTCTGCCGTCATAGTCACATCACTCGTTGATGGAGCCTTGGTAAGACCTTAAGTAGAAACACGTGTAAGTAAATAGATATCAGGTATGAAGCGTCCATGTTTTCTCTCTATCAAACCGTGTTCGGTCATGGCGATTTATTTCCTAGTTGAGCAGGCGCTGGTGCGCTCGAAGATGACCAATCTTGCAAACTTTCGTGGCGCACCCTCTTGCACATTGAGGGCTTGTGCCCTCCGCCGTTGGCGGTGTACTCACAAGAGTACGGGAGGTGGACGCGCCTTTATATCGTCACGTTTAGCATCGAGTTCAGCTTTACGCTACTCTTCAAGCTTGTGGATTGCCTCTTCAAAGTACACTATATAAAGTACACTATGGTGCACCTGAATAATCAAGGGTAACTTAGTAATTGTACTCCAATAGCCCGTTGCATACTTGGAGTACAAATAAAAAAGGTGCTAGAAAAAATGTTCCGACTGTTTCTCGTGTTCTGTTTCTTCTGTTATTTATATTTCTTTACCATTTTCTTTTACTGATATTAAACATTTTTCTACGATAGCTACATTTCAAGGCTGAACCTTGCGTGAATAGCAACATACTTCTCAAAAGTCATAAAATCTAGTTCATATCTATCTATCTATCTTAATTAGAGAGAAAGTTAACTGAGTATACTGTCACAGTGGTGATAAAAACAAATCTTTAGATTCAAAATCAAAATCTTTATTTTATAGGTAAGTAAATTAGACTTTAAATTTTCGTATTAGTTAAACTCTACTCTTCTAATTCGTAAGGTAGATTCCCCTGAGACGAATGAGCAAGAAACTGTAGGGGTAACTCTGTTATATATCGAGTTCTTAGGTTTTCGCAATTGTTACACATAGGAAATGAAACTATTTTTCCGGATTTAGTTCATTTTTGTTGTTAGATTTAGATTTGGTTTAGGATACAGTATTTAGGAAATGAAACTATTTTTCCGGATTTAAATCGCGTATATTTGTTTTTTCAAACAATCCGACGTTTCGGGCCCTTTACAGGTCCCATGGTCACGGTTGACTGAGGTGGTACAGTCTTCAACCCAGGATGCTGCGAGAGGCCATTGAAATTAAAAACACATCCTAATTTCAACAGGGAAGATGGTTTCTCCGTACCACCAGTTTGGGATCCAGTATTTCCTCTAATGAAAAATCCCAAACAGACATAGACTACAGTACTAATTCATGTCATAATTTATTGTAAATTCCATTATTCATTAATAATAAATTCAATTTAATAAAATATTCACATTGTTCAAATAAAATAATTGTAAAATTTGTAGAGTAAATTGGAATGTTCCTTGTAAAATTTAAAAATAAGGTATTAAATTAATAGCTTTTGTCACTATAGTGAAAAATAAGGTGGTTTGCATTTACATTGGACATAGTTGGTTGAAGACTTTATCACCTCAGTTAACCGTGATCATGGGACCTGTAAAGGGCCCGAAACGTTGGTTTGTTTGAAAAAACAAATATACGCGATTTAAATTCGGAAAAATACTCTCATTTCTTATCATAGATATATCTAGACAACATGCAAGGTCTAACGTATCGCTACTACGAATTTTTATCATCCAAGTACACAGACACTGTGTAAAAACTTACTGTTGTTGGTTTAACTGTTATTTGAATCTGTAAAATTACGTCCTGTTACCGATAACCAAAAGATAATGTAAAAATGTGATCTCTAAAGTACGTACCTATTTTTACTGTATAACATCAACTAAAGACTAAAGTCACGAGATGAAACAACTTTTGTGTTGCGACCAACAACTAATGAAAAAAGAGTTCTTCTATCTTTTTAACAAAGGCCAACGATTATTAGAATGATTTGTACCCTGCACGAATAATACGGCTACACGGAACATATTTCTTGAGGCTATCCTAAATTATTGGCGTAGTTTTTCAGCGATCATTTTTTATTGTTGTTCTTGAGTTTTCGGGCTCCTCGTGCATGTCAGTCTGACTTTTCTACATTTTTACAACGTTTTAAACAGGTAACAAAACTAGACCACCATCGTGGTCCTGTAACCGCAGTAAAAGCTATCCAAGACGGAGATATCCTAGTCACAGGATCACAAGACGGCACAGTCTGTACTTGGAATGTGGACAACTTTACACTGCTAAGTACGGTCACGTCTGGCGTACCGATCCACGCTATGGAAGTAACAGAAGACAACGTGTTTCTGATCACGCTGCAAGGAGAAAACGAGTTACATGTTCGGACCTTCATTACTGGAACTCATCTTCACGTCTTGAAGAGGCATAAAGCAAAGGTTAGAAATTTCCTTTTTTTCTATATACTATTTAGCTTCTATGCGTCTTGCTTCTGGACACAATTGCGTCAATACAGTGAACCGAAACAACTTAAATTACTACCAAGACCAAACTGGTGCTCGAACACACAACTTAATTACATAAATTCACGTATGCTGTCAATACGCTACACTAGTAAATACATAATGTATCTTACAGGCAAAGAATTAGGATCACTTATAAATGTTATATAACTCTAGTAATTTTTAGTAGCAGTAGAGTTCCTTGTGAAGCCACCATGTCTCGCCTAGCTTTATTTAGAGTAAAAGAGATGTAAATTTATTAGAAGAGGAAAATAAAGGCTGTTACAAAACAATGCAATGAAATAAAAAAAGGTACAAACACCCCCTACTAGTACTAAACAGTCGAAAGTCCAGGTAATTACCCCAAGAGGGCATTTTGCGTATATACAGTGCGTCTCACGGCTATCACACACGGAGGGAAAGTACCTTAAATACCGCGGATAGAAAGTTTTACTGAAAAAAGACTCCATTTTGATTTTAAAAACAATTCGAACTGTATTTAAAGTTTTTTAAATAATAGCCAGTCTGAATCGGGAATCAAACACGCCAAATGTGAAAAAAGACAGGTATAATTTTGCTATAATGATCGAAAGCCTCAATCATAAAGATTGTTTTCTTCTAAATCACATAGCATTAAAATAAAAGGAAGACTATGAAATTTGTCATTCTCAAATTCTTCTTTTGTAATCAGCCAGACGCGTTGTGATTGTGAACACATTTTGAGGATGAGGCTTTCGATGAGTATAGTAAAATTAGAACTGTAGGTGTTTTTTTTTTTTTTTTCACATTTTACGGGTTCGATTGTGTTCGGTGACAGGCGATTATTTAAAAATCTTTAAGTGCAGTTCGGTTCGAATTGTTTTTAAAATCAAAATTAAGCCTTCTTTCTGTAAAATTTTATTACTGGTGAATGTATTTAAGGTACTTTCCCTCCATGTGGCATTGCCCTGAGACGCTCTGTATATCTAATACTTTAAAAACAGTTTAAGTGGAATTGGAGTTTTACATGATGATGAGCATGTCCTCTAGCTACGAGAAATTTGATGGAGAGTGATAACGGAACGAACCAACGTAAGAATAATAACGGAAAACGTATTCGAGAACGATGTGGCCAGGAATCAGTAAAGAGGGTGATAATAAGGTGGGATGACGATGAAGGAGGTCAGCACCGTTACAATCTTACCTGTGTACCAAGCAGTAATGAGAGCATTACGATTTAATGCTCTGAGTGGCACTGCAACTGCTATGGAAACGGAAAAGAAAATATAAACCTATTATATTGTTAAAGAGAATTAATAATGTCATTGAACAAAGCCCATAACATTTAAAATAATA